TTTTTTTTTTTGTTTTTGCTTCCCAACAATATACTACAATATTTGGCAAAAATTTTTCAGCTTAAGTTCCAACAATGGAAAAAGTTTGTTGGGAGAATAAACTGTCATCCGAAAGTACAAAGCCGAAAAGTATTCAATTTTGGTTATTGTTTAGATGCATTTTTTTGTTGTCTTGTTTAGACTCTGAGGAGTTCCAAATAAGATTAGCAAATTATCTGTGTAATAATTGTTCTACAGAAAACACTGTTTTTTGGCAACATAAAAATCGAATTACTGTCGTCTACAGGTTTTGCCAAAAAAAAAAAAAATGCCCATTGTTTATCGCCTGATTTTTTCTGATTTTTTTTTCGGACCTTTGTAAACAACGTTTAAAAAAGCTACTTTCCCACACCCCTCAGATATCATAATCTTTTCGTTCTTCGACAGTTTTTTTTGTTACCAACAGTTTTTGTTTGCGTGTAGCCATTGTTTAGGTTTGTTTTGTTTTTTCACTGGTAGTTTTCAGTGTCTTGGCATTTCAGTTGTGATGAACCACTACAAAAACAAACAGAAGAGTTTTTCTGATCAATGGATTCTTCAAAGCGCTAGACGACGTAAAGCATTGGAAGTTCGAAATCCAAACATTGTTGAAGTGTATCCGAGAGAAAAAGAAGACGCCAAAGACACTGATTATCTAACCGCTGTTTTAGGACTCGAAAATCGTACCGATTTAGTGGAATCTAGTGAAGTAGGTTTTCTGTTGAGTTTGAATTAGTCAAGTTTTTCACTAAAATATTCTTGGCTTGACTTTGTGACAGAACTGGAATTAATTAGTAATTCTTTCGTTCACATTTTAACGAGTAACTTTGATCACTTTGATCGCAGTTTTATAAATGCAACTATCAGCTATAAATGCGTGTTTCTCTGTTTTCTTGATACACTTGTTCCATAACAGTTGCCATTGAAGTGTAATTCTGACGATGAGGAATACTGTGACGGCAGTGGGAAGGCTCTGTTCGGTAGAAATTATGTAATGGATAGAATCCTAGCAAGAAAAACTGTGGTAATTATTTCCTTAATCACGTCCTGTTTTGCCGTTGTGATCTTAAGGAAAATGACTGGGTTTTTAAAATCTATTTTCGTAATTTTCATTTCTAATTTAGTAAAAGCATTTTTATATTCTACTATTTATACTACAAAAGTGACTACAGAAAAGTAGGGACTTTTTTTACATAAAATGGGACGGTTGGTCGTACAGTCAGTGCACTTGGGAGCCGAAAGAAAATATTTTATACGGTGGACAAGTTGTAAGTTTCTCGATGCTCAAGTCAATACTTTCATCTTTTTCCTCTCTGAAATTTAAGGAGACGGGTTTTGAGCAAAATATTTAAACATAATTTTTTAACTTCGCTTTCGTTTACTTTTACTTTCCTTGTAGATGGTTGACTTCATGGAGAGGGAAAAATCGCGCACAGTTTTGGGTTTGAAGCAGAGATTGGAGGACGAAAATCTGTATCAGTTGCGTAATCTGGATAGGTGGGAGAGGAAAATTAATAGTTCCCGTTGTTGCTCTAATGGGAAAAAAATTTTCGTTTTTAACTCTGTTGACGATGCCTGTAGACCACGGCACTTTGAAGTAACATTTTTTTAACTAAATCATGTCACATTTAAGCGTATTTCTGCGACATCATGATTCCTCTTTATCCTAAGATTATCTTCTTTAGTTTCATAATTTTTTTACCTCTTACTTTCAGTATATAAATAAGTCTGTTCTTGTTACTCCTGTTAAATTCTCCAAAAAGCCAGTTCCCAAACGGTGCCATTGTCCACTGAAGTATTACTGTAATGGCGCGTCTGTTTTTATGTCAGTAAGTTTTGGTTTATATTCATTGTTTTTTGATAAATAAGAAGAATAAAAGAAAATTAGGTATCTAATTATCTTATGTTGCGAAAGCTTCCCAAATAAGGATTATAAAGATAATCCGAGGATTATTTTTGCATCGCTTTTCCAGTACCTGTAAAATAAATATAGTTAGCAAAAATAACTGAACCAAGTATTATAAAAGCTTTTTTAATGTTACTAAATACAAACTAGCGATTGCGAGAACCGAGAGATGTGGATGGGGAGTATTTGCACTGGAAGATATACCTGCTGGACGTCTGGTTTTTGAATTTGTTGGAGAAGTACTACTTTTTAAAATTTATTTTTTTATGAAATTGTTCATTCTTTGATCTTTTAAAGGAAATTTGGGAAGGGAGCGTTAAAGACGTAATTAAATTGGGAAAATTTGGATTTTTTTTGTTATTTTTTTATTTTTTTCATTTACATATCTCATTTTTCTTTACCGCTCTAGTAACTTAACTCGCATAGTTTCGCTGTACTAGCTGTAGCTGTCGATAACTGTTTGTTCTGTTTTGGATTTTGACGACGAAGGATGCGAATAAACGGGGCGATTATGATTATCAGTTTGACCTTAACTGTGACGCAGGCACTGAATATGTCATTGATGCAAAATTTATGGGGAATGAAAGCGCTTTTATGAACCATTCATGCAACGCTAATCTAAGTGCAATGATTTTGTATGATGAACAAGCAGCTCCTGCTTTTCACAGAATGGCTCTCTTCAGTAAAGCTGATGTTAAGAAGGGTTTTGATTTCTAAACTTATTTAACGGTTTTCTGGCTATTATTCAAAGCTTTTAATTTTACTACGTTGTTGTCCGCTGACAATTAATGCAAAAGGAGAATGGCTGTTCAAAAATCTGTTTTCTATTCTTCTTTTTTATTGAGACGGGGGTTGGCAAATAGACTTACTTAGCAAATAGTTTTACTAATATTAGGAGACGAACTGACGCTCAACTACTACCCCCAGTTTTCAAAAAATAAGATCCTTCTAAATGGTCAAGGACTATTGCACCGTAAAAAGCTGAAATGCCGGTTTGTCTTCACTTTTCTCACTTCCTTATTGTTTCAGCATACTAATTTTATGGCTAGTTTTGTTCATGGCTGCTCACACGAGAAGATAAATTGTATTTATTTGAACTATAATAGTTTGTCTTTTGAGCCCAGTCGTAAGTATTTTTGTTTTATACCACCAATCTTTTTTACCTCGCATTTTTTTGTTATCGTTCACCATCTGGACAAGTTGACGTATCAAAACTCAAAATGCTGTCGACACGTTAAATGAGTCAACACGTTAAATCGACCAAGAGGCAGGAAATATTGTTTAACAAGCAGCAGCAAATACATTTCAGAGTTTGAGATTCCTGTGTACTGTGTCAAAGAGCGCTAAGAATTATTGCGGTTTGGAAAATTGGATAGAGTGGTACCAGGAGTACTGCTAACTTTGTAAACTGCACCTTTGAGCAGACCGAAATCGCGAAAATTTTTTTTTGAGGTAGTGTGCTACTTATCCCTGCATAGAATGTGCCATTGAGGTGAAAAATTAGAAGATTCGTCAGTAATACATGAGTCAAAATTCATTCAAGCGATATAGGAATCAGCTTTGCTTTGCACTTCTAGGGAAGTTTTTCCTACCAGATTTAGATTGCTCGAAAGTGCTCACTGTTTCCCATTATTTTTGAAAGCAGGCTTTAGCGTTGACCTACCTGCTTCTAGGAACTTCTGAGGATTAGATTATATAATTGAAAGAAAATCGTTGCATTGGCTTAGTCGTGCTTGTTTCTATTTTTTATTGTAATTGAAGCGGAAGACATGAATTTGAGGTTGCTCTGACCTTGCACTCAAAAGAGGTTTTAGAGAGCAGCAGGCATGCTGATGAACAGAACTGTTCTAGCCATGGGCTTTCTAAAATTAAGCTGTAAAATTTCGGGTTTTCTGAATTCGGGACGCACATGGAAAGATAAAAGTAGTTAAAATGATTTATCTGTGATTGAAAATGTGGAAGTGGAGTGCTATCCTGCGACAAGTTTGTGTCCTGTTGAGTGGTCTAATTGGAGTCCGTAGCTCAGTCATTCGTTGTTTATTTCTACAAACCATCAAGAGTGCGATGTCTCTGAAGTCTAGGTAGAGGCATTCAATAACGAATTTACAAAAGGTTAAGGGGCTGTCAAACTTTCGAACACACTCCTGCCTCCACGGAGCGATCGCGTGTCTTCAGTGAATTAGGATTTTTGCT